TAGCTTTAAAGGAAATCCATTTAGATTCGGAAGAAGGTGCTCCTTCGACGGCAATTCGAGAAATATCATTAATGAAAGAATTAAAGCACCCAAACATTGTGAAACTTAAGGATGTAATTCATACTGAAAATAAATTAATGCTTGTCTTTGAATATATGGACCAAGATCTTAAAAAATATATGGATACACATGGGAATCATGGTGCGCTAGATCCTGTTACGATCAAATCATTTATGTACCAAATGTTGAGGGGAATAGATTTTTGTCATGAAAACAGGGTTCTTCATCGAGATTTGAAACCTCAAAATCTCTTAATCAACAAAGCAGGACAATTAAAACTTGCTGATTTTGGTCTTGCACGAGCCTTTGGAATTCCAGTTACCACTTTTTCAAATGAAGTTGTTACCTTATGGTATCGTTCACCCGATGTACTTTTAGGATCTCGATCATATTCAACATCAATTGATATATGGTCTGCTGGTTGCATTATGGCAGAAATGTATACTGGTCGTCCACTGTTTCCAGGTACAACTAACGATGACCAATTGGTAAAAATCTTTCGTATTATGGGTACTCCAACCGAAGCCACCTGGCAAGGCGTTACGCAGTATCCAGATTATCATAAACAATATACTGCATACACTGCTCAGGATATGAGTCAATTACTCCCTATGATCGACCGTAACGGAATGGATTTACTTACTCAAATGTTAGTCTATGACCCAGAGAAGAGAATCACTGCAAAGAATGCATTAAAGCATGTATATTTCCAAGATATACTTGAAAATTCCAATAACTACAGCGTAATTCAAACAGGTCCATCTCCAATGAGAATTCCTGTACCTCCTATGACTGTATCTATGCAAATGGGTGCAATACCAACCATGCAAACAATTAATATACAAGGAATGCATATCGTTCCTACAAATGTCAACATGCAAATGGGTGGTATACAATCTGTTCAGCCGATGATCGCAGTTCCTCAAGGAATGCCGATGATAGGTCATCCTCCAAATGCACCTTCACAAGCACCGATGGTGCCCAGACGAAATCATATGCACGATAATTATGGTATTGAATAATTATAACAAATTTATCATAATTATCGGACAAATTAGCCTATTAAACGAGAGACATTTATTTTTTTATTTTTTTTGAATATGTTTAATATAAATTATGATTATTTGTATCAAATAAATGTATAATGCTTTTTTCTTAGAAGTATGTTAGTGCATTTTACAATTACATAATTTTCTCATATTTTTTTATATTATATATATTATCTAACTAATCTCCATATTATGGTGATCTTTTTCACATCATCCATTGTTTATCATCATTTTTTTTCAGTGGGCTATTTCTTTGCTTTACAAAGTGCGCTTTGCCATCCAAGCTTTTATTGTACCTATTACTGGCTCCACTACGTCGTTTTTTAGATTCCTTTGGATTAGCACCAATGTTAATATTCACTCTGGGCGGTATTTTAAACCCAAATGCTTTTCCGACCTTTTGAAGGTCTAATTTATTTAAATTAAAAACTGATTTAAGTGAATAAGAAGCGTAAGCGGTCAAATAAGATCGGAACCCATCGCGTGCAGATTGATGCAGATAATAGTTCTTTTCGATAAGTTTTTCTAACTGTAGAATAGTTGGAATAATATCAATATAGTATCAATAACTTTATAAATAACCGACAGTATTTCTCACCTGAGATTGAACATTAAATATTTTGTTGTCTTGGAATTGAAATTCATTTAATGGAACTTTGGCATGTTTAAGATACCGCAAAAATCCAAGCTCACATGGTAATAAAAACAGTAAGCTCTTGCCTTTACCACCAGCACGAGCTGTTCTTCCAACTCGATGTATATAATCACGTGGATCATCTGGTGGATCATACTGAACGATATAGTCAACCGCAGGTATATCCAACCCTCTAGCAGCGACATCGGTACAAAGGAGGATACCGTGATCGGCGTTTGTAAATTCAAAAAAGACATTTGTCCGCTTCGTTTGTTTTTGTTTGCCCTAAGAAAAAATAAAATTAAGCAAGATAAATCTTAAAGTAAAAAGTATGTATCAAAATGCACAAAATAAGAATTACATGCAAATCCAAAACTGGCACATCAATATAATTTAACAATTCTGCATGATATTTAACAGATTTGCAACTAGAGAAGAACACAATAATTTTCTTTTTGATATTGCGCTTAAGAATTGTAAACAGTAATAGGAATCGCTTGTCGCTATCGCAAACGATGTAACCTTGGTCAAGAGTATCTACAGTGGATGTTTCCTTTTCTTTGTCAACGTTTATATATAATGGTCCCGGCCTCAAGGATATTCGTGCTAGATCTTCGACTTTTGTTGTTTGTGTAGCAGAAAAAAGTATTGATTGACGATTTTCTGTATCGGAGAAAACCCCGATTTCAAACCATTATATTACAAATCTTTAGAAGCTATAAATGTCAAATAATTAACACTTTACCCCACCTTTTGGAAGAATCTTTATAATCTGTCTCATTTCATTTTCAAATCCAATTTCTAATATACGATCAGCTTCATCTATGATGAGAGCTTTGAGATTTCTGTACACAAAACTTTTAGTATTCTATGCAAATAATTTAAACCGATCATATCAGTAAATAATTTAGGGAAGTTAACAGGCTATATATGATTTAAAAAAAGGGAATACCTGAAGATGATCTAACAATCTCCCTGGTGTAGCAATCAATAAATTCACTCCTTTCTCTAGTTTTTGAACTTCTGCATTTCGATTAGCACCTCCCATTACAATACCAAATGTTTGATTATGATACTGTAATAGATCCTTTGCAACCCCGAAAATCTGTAAAGCTAATTCTCTTGTAGGAGAAATTACAATTACTCCAGTTCCTTTAATGAAAAGGATCTCATCAGATAATCATTGAAAATACTTAAGCTTCTTATCTAAAAAAAACATCGATTTACCATTCCTTGGCTTGAATTTTAGCTTATAAAGAAGTTCTATGGCTGGGATTAAAAATGCTAAAGTTTTTCCTATATAATTCAATACATATATATAAATAATTATTTATTGCTTATTAAAACAAAAAAGTATAAAATAACATATTAGATCACCAGATCCGGTTTTGGCGGCTCCCAACACATCACGACCAGCCATTAAAGGTGGAATTGCTTTAGCTTGAATTTCCGTCATAAGAGTAAAACCCTTCTCTTCTATAGCTTTTTTAGTTGATTCTGAAATATCTAATGCTTCAAAATCGTAATTAATCTTATCTTCAAGATCGTCTATTGAAATGATTGAGAATTAGAGCCATCAGAAAAAAGGATTTTAAATCGAATATCAAAAAATTTCATACTTATAGTTTCAATTTCTGGTACATGGTTTAAACCATCGATCACGTTTGAATTATTAATTTCTTGCTTTTCGGTTATTTTAGCATCTTCATTATCACCTATGGTTTCGCTTTCTGGTGAACTATCGATCACATTCGAATCAATTTTTTGCTTTTTGCTTATCTTAGTTTCTTCATTATCGGCTTCATTTTGGTTTAGTTTTTTCTGCTTTTTATTTTTGTTCGCTCTTTTCCTTTTCTTTCCACTTTTTGATACTGTAATTTCCGTGGGTTCAACTTCCATTTCATTTGCGTTATTTTTTTTTACTGTATAAAAAAATTTCGCAATTAACGTCCAGAGACTACCCTGATCTACCAATCAGATGCAAAATCTTGAAATTTGTAGATTCTACTCGTACTATCACGTTCTGATTGAACGAAATTGACGGTCCTTAATAACAAACCTCGGGCGAAAATATTTAACTACTTATTTTAAACTCGATAAATTCTTTTATTTTAATTTCATGGATTCATAGAAGCAAAAATACCGTTCGTCGGTACTGTTCCTGATAGGATGAACGATTTACGTACGTACCGTTACTGGTTATACCATAATTTTCGGCAAATAGTACCTCCTCGCTAAAGTACCCGCCCACCGTCAATTTAGTCAAATTATATATTCAATTGACGATCCCGAGGGCTGACGTTAAGATTGACATTATATAATTCTTTTATTTGGCATATTAAAGTTTATTAAAGTTTGCTGCTGAAAATTTAAATATACATTTTGTAATTAAATACAGTAAATAAATAATGAAGTCTTTTATTTGGCGTATTAAATTTTTCTATTCGGTAATAAAATCCAATAATATGTAAGAATATGTAAAAAAAATGTAATAATAGATAAAAATTTTTGCCCATTTCTAATGTAACTCACATAATCTGAATTTTTTGGGTGGCGATTTAACCCTGGAAGTCGGGTCTCGGCGATCAGTCGGGTAATTATGCGGATAAGAATCAATTGAGGATCAATTGATGCGCATGATTAATATGTTATTCGGTGATTAATGATCGATTCATTGTGTGATTAAGGCATGAGTTAAAATCGTAAGATTAATTAATTTAGAGTCGAATTTATATATGTTGTGCCTCAGACTAACGCTTACCTCAGATCACAGACGACACTAACCAATCAAATAAATAACAAAAATAATTAATTCGTGATCCGCATAAGAACCAGTATTAATTTTGGAATCTGGAGGATAACATATATTATAAGCGAAGCTTTACCTTTAATTATATATTTTTTTGTCATCACCACTTCTATCAAAGACGAATTACAATCTTTAGGCCATATTAAGTTAAACAATATCGCTCATCTACGCTAACTTGTCAATTAACTTCTATAAAATGAATTAAATGAAATTATTTAAACATGAAAATTTTTATACCACAACACTGAAGATCTTTGGTATTGTTACTAGCAAGAAAATTAAAATTAGTCTAGCATTCTTTGTCCCATACTGCACATGGTTTTGTGTTTTTACGTGGTCTACCTGCTAAAATTGATGAAAATAGGTTTTTAACAAGATTAGAGATGCTAGAAAATCGTATTTAAGAAAAAGAAGTAAAACTAGCCACAAAGCCTTATTTTTACGTGGTCTACCTCCTAACATTGCTATTAGCAAGAATTTTGAATCGGTCTTGGTAAGTATCAACAATAGTCTGTGTGGGTGGGAGTGATATAGAAAAGTCAAACGTCCACCGCCAATTGGGCCGAACATGGAACATTTGGAGGAAGTGAACATAGAAAAGAGGAAGTGAATATAGAAAAGAGGAAGTGAATATAGAAAAGAGGAAGTGAACATAGAAAAGAGGAAGTGAACATAGAAAAGCCAAACGTCCACCGCCAATTGGGCCGAACATGGAACATTTGGAGGTAGTGAACTCAGTTTGCCACCGCCTATTGGGTCTGTACATGACAAACTGGCCTTTTCCATCAGGGAATCCAACAAAGGATCCTTGATAACAAATCTTCTCACCGCCTATTGGGTCTGTACATGAGTAGATTTGAGCAAAGTTCACATTCCCAGTTTGCCACCGCCTATTGGGTCTGTACATGACAAACTGTCATTTTCATTCGCCACTTAAGAAAGGAAAAAGAAGTGAACATAGAAAAGCCAAACGTCCACCGCCAATTGGGTCGAACATGGAACATTTGGAGGTAGTGAACTCAGTTTGCCACCGCCTATTGGGTCTGTACATGACAAACTGGCCTTTTCCATCAGGGAATCCAACAAAGGATCCTTGATAACAAATCTTCTCACCGCCTATTGGGTCTGTACATGAGTAGATTTGAGCAAAGTTCACATTCCCAGTTTGCCACCGCCTATTGGGTCTGTACATGACAAACTGTCATTTTCATTCCACTTAAGTTGATCTGACGCGTACTCCCACCTAATATTTTTAAATAAAATGGTTTTATCAGTCTGTGTAACGTTGAGTGATGTACGTACCGTAAAATTCCGTGTCAATTGCAGAATTGTGTAATTCACGTTATTTTTACTCGCGTCCTCATGTATTGTTATACAAAAATTTTATATATTCGATTTCCTATGGGACTATACATATATTTGAAATTATTTTTTTCATCCGCAAGTATAAAAAAAAAAGGTTCTGTAGATTTCTCATATTATATATATATATATTTTATTCTGCAGGTTTAATATTGGGTTAATTTGCAGATGTTGGTTATAATTTTCTTAAAAATATAGAAACTAAAGTGAAATATGCTGTATATTAAATGATATACCGTAAAACCTCTATTAGTTCACTCTTTAGACCAAACTTAACAATGTACACTTAGAGAAAGTGCATTTATAGAGGTCATGTATATATTTGGGCTAGAATTTAAGTGTGCATTTAGAGAGAGTACATAGAATCACATAATACCGCAATTAAAAAGTTGGATTTTCCTCGTATTAAATAAATTTTCCGCAACCATTTTGTTAATTAAAAATGCAATCCGCAAGTTTTGATAAAGTATTAAATATATTCCGCATATAATTTTAAAATCCAATTTTAAACACTGCCTACAACCCTAATAAAACTTTTTATATGTTTCTTTTTTGTTTATTCTTCGTAGTTTTATTTTTTCTAAAAAGTACTTTACAGCTGTTTTCATAAATTCTGGGATACCTAAAAATTTTCTCATTTCCCGGAATCTTTTCTGTTTCGTCCGGTAAATTACCTAACTCTTCGGAAACTACATCACTGTCTTCGGACTGAAGGTTCGAGAGAGCTAGGTAATTTACCGGACGAAGCAGAACTTCTGTCTATGAATTTCAGCCGAAAATTTTTCAAAATACCGAATCGATAGTTTATTCGAGGTCGGTCCGACAGAGTCAAAATTTACAGCTGTTTTCATTATTTTTGAGACGAAAAATTTTTTGAGTCGGAATCAATAAATTACTGACGTCGGCCGACAACAAAAACTTATCGATCCGGTCATCATCAATTTTTCAAATGCCCTCAAAATAACAGTTGTAAATTTTACCAATGAATAATAGCATTCATTAAATATTCACCAACAGTATTTTGACATAGAAACTTATCGATACGGTTATAGGAATTTTTTTCAGTTGTCCCGGTTCTGATGCATACCAACCCGTAAAAAATACCGTTTTCTCGGCTCAAGCCATTTGCATAATAGGCTGTGATTGAGCTATGTGTCAGATTTAAGGCTGCAGACATTGAGACATAAAATGACATATGGCAATGTCGTGTAGATTTCGCTAACTAAATTTTATATGACATGAAGAGTTATCTCTGACCTCCCAAATATCTGCACCTATTTGAAGCTACACCATAATAGTGAGGCGGTGTAAGTTATGGTTATTGTATGGGTTGTAAAAAAATAACCAAGTTTGCACAGTTTAACGTTACATGGCTGAAGGCCATGTAACCCGTGCAAATTTGGTTGTTTATAATAACTATTTTATTGCACGGTGTCTGACGTTCAATCATGTGCCAAAAAATAAATGAAAAAAACACGGTTGTTACATAAGACCCGTGCAATGAGAGATAATACTTTTTACATTATTTTCAGTCTCTTATAACTTGCCGAGTGAACATATCATAATATTATATTTTTATTATGTTAAGTGATTTATATTTAGCTTATAAATTATCGGTTCTCGCCGAATGCCCATTCGGTATCCAATGAATAAGGTTGTGTAATCTCGACACCCTTAGCTGTAACTTTGGCACGTTGAAACTAATATTATAAAACAAAAAAGGGTAATCTTATTATTGATGTATGAATAACAAATAATTAAATTGGACGATAAGTAGCATACCTTGTTAAGACTCCTTGCGTCCCTATAGAATAAGACTCTCATGCACGTTTCAATAGCATCTATGGCTTCTTCTTCTGAGAGAGTGTCTTCATGACCTTCAACAAGCTTTCGAAGAATGGGTTGAGCCAAATAAGCGCCGAAACCCGTGGCAATACTAGGAGATTTATATGTTGTTCCTAGTAAATCAACATAGCCAAGAAATCTTTATGACATAAATCAATCAGTAAATTTTATTTTGCATAGAAATACATGTGCAAATGTAAAAATAATGCATACCCTTCTCCATTGTGGTATCCACCGACAACATAAGCATTCCACAGAGGGTTTATTTGAGATCGTCTATGGTACATAACTCGACTTAAATATTCGTATATATGCGGTGATCCAAGAACATGGCCGTCATTTGTGTAATATTCTTTAACCCTGTGAAAGCAAACGTTTATTAGAATCTTCAATTATTACAATAAAAAAAATAAAAATAAAAATTTTCATTACATCTCAGCGTCCAAAAGATGTTTTGTATATTGGAAGTCAGAATAATCACCTGACGCACCAATTACTGTGAAATCACCAACTGGATAAAGACGTTCGACGTCCTTATAGCGGGCAAGAGAACCATAGGATGCTAATAAAGACAAATTAGGTTAACGCTGCATTGAAACTCAACAATGCTCGTATAGTGTAATTTACAAGCGCACCCAAATTATCTGCAGCTAGCATTACACCATCCTGATATTTCAGAGCGATCACTGAGGTACCCGTTACGATAGGTTTTCTATAGCATAAATTATTATAGTTGATTGATTAATACGTTAAATAGACCGAACATGATATAAGAAACTCACTGAGTTCTCGTGATTGGATCTGTTGAACTTTCGTTCCTAGGGTTTATATCAACTTGAAATATATTGCGTCGATCAGCGAGTTCATGATGAGGCTTTCCTAAATTTAATGGAAAGTGGTCCATGGTTGAAATGAATATCATTATCGTTGCATCATCATGTATTTCTACCAACGATCTCTATCACGTGAAACAGATCAAAAGTTCTATGTGTAACGGATTCAAAATAAGAGTGAACAATTCGAAAAGCACTAGATCCTCCTTTCATTTCACCGCGGGATTGGTCAATCGAAAATGGTATGCTTTCATCTGCCGTATCGCACTTTTCTTTTCATCCAAGGCTTTTTTTTTATACTCTTGCTTATATCGAATGATAAATATTCAACTGGACACGTTTGATCAAAAGATTGACAATATTGCAAATTTTTTTACAACTCTCATTTGAGACTCGATATATGATTTGAAAATGACTTCAGGTTACCTTTTAGAAATTCAACCCCAAATTATTTAATTATTTAAGCAGTATTCCACTTTCTAAGTGTGATAATTTATTTCACTGTGTGTAATTATGTACCTGACAATAAATGATATTGTTACATTCAGGGTATTGACATCAAGAAGCACCACGTGAAGAACAGAAATCGGACTGAACCGAAGAGCGAAAATGTCTACCTTCGATTGTTGGTGAAGGTGTGAAATAAAATATTTGTATTATATTAAACATTATAGTTTTAGGCTAATTTTTTTTGGGGGGAATCAATTGTCTAGCTTTACAGATTCTTGGCACGAAGAACTGATTCCAAATTCAATAAGGTCGTGTTAAAGCGACTTTACATGTCACGCGTTAATAAACCCCCGATCTCCATCTCTCGTCTTTTGTGTAATGTGAAGGATAAGCCCGATAAGATCGCTGTGGTAGTTGGTACCGTTACAGATGATAATCGGGTGTTGGACATCCCTAAAATTACTCTTGCAGCACTTCGTGTCACAAAGTCAGCCAAGGCTAGGATTCTAAAGGCTGGTGGTGAAGTCCTTACCTTAGATCAATTGGCTTTGCGTGCACCTACCGGTTCAAATACAATTTTACTTAGAGGCCCTAAAAATGCACGAGAGGCTGTTAAGCACTTTGGCATGGGTCCTCATAAAAATGCCAAGTATGTCATCTTGTCATGTTGCAATTTTAATCATGATAAGTTTCTAATACTTGTTTTTTTTTCTATTTTCCCCTTTTTACTACAAGACCTTACGTTCGATCTAAGGGCAGAAAATTCGAAAAAGCTCGTGGTCGCCGAGCTTCTCGTGGTTATAAGGTGTAATAACAATGTACTAGTGATTCTGGCCAATCATGAAAAAAAACGGCTAAAGTTAATTTTCTGCCTATCCATCGAGTTTCTTTTTCTTTTCCGGCTGATCGATTTCTTATAATGATAATTATTCAAAAGCTTTTATCATTGCAAAAAATTATAATAAACCGCCGATGAAACTTTGTTTCTTCTGTCAATTTAATCAGTATAATATCGTATGACTTTGAACTGGTTTTATTTCTCAAATGTTAAACTCGGTTTTAACATACAAACTCTAGTATATATTAACACTATTTTTAAGTTGATCTAATAAGATTAATACATTTATCTGGTATATAACTCTAATGCAAAGGCATGAAGGATATGTAAAACTTGACCAATAGCAATTTACTCAAACTGTAATTCTGAATGCTTTAGAATTAGTGATTGCCTATTTTTCAATTATCCTTATTTCATTTAGTATATTTACCTCGTAATGTCGCTTTTGAAATATAGTGATCCTGATTTACAATTTCAGCCCGTGCGTATTAGAGTTGGCAATGGGTCAATGGAGCCCAATTGATACTTATCCATTAGAGCTTTTTCTCAATGGATATCCAAATTGCCTAATACGTACAGTACATAATAATAGAAACGATGAGCATTCTGACCTTGGCAACATCCCATTTTTATAAATCAAACCAGATAACCTTTAATTGTACAAATGACTTTTACATGTTAAATATTCATTAAATCATATTTTTATAAATCAAACCAGATAATCTTTAATTGTACAAATGACTTTTACATGTTAAATATTCATTAAATCATATTTAATTGTTGGATATCTATTCAATCCTTGGACAGGTTAATATTTACTAATGTATAGAATTTTTCAATAAAACTATTGAATGCTATATATGTTGTATCTATTATTACAAAATTTAATAAATTTAGTTTCTTCTGAGTTTGCGCTACTGATCGAAAATGGGACATACATATTGGTTTTGGTTATGGCCCAAATTAAGTAGAAATTCCGATTCACAAACCCAAATTACGCAGTAGTGTCGTAAATCAAAAAGAAGGTTTGGTCGCAACCCTAAGGCTTGCCATTTGCATCTCTATTCTAAGATTGTCTTAACATGCCTGGTAGAAAGGATTATTTATAGGATATTAGTAGTACAAAATTGACAAGTATTTCAAAAATGCTAAGTACTCACGTAGACGCTCTGATAATTGATCATCTTCATCGATTTCTTTGTCCGCAATGATTGAGCTGGGAGTAGCCTCACCAAGTTGCTGATTTAACTCAAGACCATGCTCATCAGCTACTTGTTGCATCAACATATCAACTTCTTCTTGTGGAGTAGTCATCGTTGTCGTGTTCCCCATCGCACCTTCCATATATTGAGTTTGAACGTCGATATCCTCAAACTGTGCTTCAAATTTATCCATGACCATTGAAATCTAAGTAGTTTTACATTATGCGTTAAAATTAAATTATGATAATTATAATTCGCAGATAAAAAATCGAACGTACTTTTTCTAAATTCATAGACTCCATGGCTTTATCCATACCTTTTACAACACTTGCCATTGATCCAGTTACCTATATTAGGGATCAACCGTTTGAATCGATCATGCATACGTATATGTAATAGAAATATTAATATGAAAATACCTTTTGCATTGTTACAGCCGTTTGAACTCTACTGGCTACTGCGTCAATTCTTGAAGATAATCTCAACAAATTCAGTGATTCATTTTTTTTGCGAATTGCGTTTGCGGCATATATACGCGCACCTTCCATGTTTCCTTGTTGGATCGCCTAAAATAGTAGTTTGTTAAAAAAAAGCTTTTGAGAAATCAATATATCTATTAGCAGAAAGAGTAAACGAACCTTTTTCAGTTTTGACTTCTCGGAACTTTCATCCTTACCAGCCTTTTTTGCTTGACGGGATAATTGCTTCGCAGTTAACTAATTGAGTAAAAATTCAGTATACGTTTGAACAAAATCATAGCACGACCAGAAGTGACAACTTCTTACTTTTAACTGAAAAAGGCTCTTATCCAAATTATTCATCCTGATTATTCTAGTTTTTGATTATACAAAAGAGATAAGGTGTTAACTACTTGATTCTACTTAAATTGCCGAGAATTCGAATTCAGCCAAATTTATATAATTTCGGTCATGATTAACAACATGCATTTTTATCATAAATTTGGTAAACAGGGTTCGTTTCATAACGAACAGTAAAAATAGTAAAATTACTGTTTGTTAACTTGTTAACAGTTTTCCAAGCAAAAAATACAAAACTTGTAGATATAAACCATGGCATATTGTGATTTTCGTGGGGTAAGCCCAGCTCTTATTGTCTCTTTGTACCGTTGCAGACTTTAAAAGAAAGTTAATCTTTAAACTTTTTGCTATCTAAATTAAACCAGAAAGCAATAGAAATCTCGAAAAAAGCTACTGAAGAAGATGCAAAGGAAAACTACGAACAAGCTTATAAATTATATCAGAATGCATTAGAGTACTTTATGGCTGCAATAAAATGTACGTCACCAATTTCGCGGTGGACGTTGTTGTTAAGTGTAGATTTTTTGATTAGGCTATTACAAAGAATCTATATTTTCATTTCGAAAAACGAAACAATCCTCACATTTTTTTTAACAAGATTCAAACATATTGTATCCGGTTCCTATATGTAAACAATTCATCGATAGACGAGAAAAATGAACGTTCTAAACAGACTATTCGAAAAAAACTTACCGAGTACCTTGAACGCGCAGAAAAATTAAAAGAGTATTTAAACAGTAAGGAAGAAAAACAAAAGAGCAGAGAAAACAAACCCCAAAAGAAAGGTACTAAGGCGAATGGAGGCAAAAAGTACGTATGATTATAGTTCGTTGCAGTTCGTTACAGTTCATTACAATTCATTTCATATGATGGCAGTAAAGTGTCAATTACTCTCTTATAATGTTTTTAGAAAGGACTCAAGCGATGAAGAAGATGAGGAAGTTGATGCAGATACAAAAAAAATGCGGGAGGCATTATCAAGTAAATTGATTTAACCCTATTTTTAGAGTTATGTTTTAAGAATAAATGCTTAATTGAAAATGTTTAGGTGCAATTCTTAGCGAAAAACCGAATGTACATTGGGAAGATATTGCGGGATTGGAAGCCGCTAAGGATGCATTAAAAGAAGCAGTAATTTTGCCTATGAAGTTTCCTCAATTGTTTACTGGTAAAAATATAACATCATTTTAAATGGCTTTCCAACTTACATAATACTCATCAATGATTCATTCAAGGTAACCGAAAACCGTGGGCTGGTATATTATTATATGGACCTCCGGGAACCGGAAAATCTTATCTTGCGAAAGCTGTTGCTACCGAATCAAATTCCACTTTTTTTTCCGTTTCATCCTCTGATTTAGTTAGTAAATATATGGGTGAAAGCGAACGGTAACTTACCAATTATCATTTTCATTGCGCACCTTCATGAAAGAAAATTTTTTAAAATGTATAAACTTTTTTTTTTTTTAAGTCTTATTAAAAATCTTTTCACAATGGCTCGTAAAAGTAAACCAGCCGTTATTTTCATTGATGAAGTTGATTCTTTATGTGGTCAACGTGGGGAAGGAGAAAACGAGCCGAGTCGACGAATTAAAACAGAGTTTTTAGTTCAGATGAACGGTGTGGGACATGATGACAGTGGGATTTTAGTGCTTGCGGCAACGAATATTCCATGGGAATTGGATATGGCGATTAGGCGTCGATTTGAGAAAAGAATATACATACCGCTTCCAGATTTTCACGCAAGAGCGAAATTATTTGAATTAAACGTAGGAGTTTCGGAATGTAAATTTTCTAAAAAGGACGATCAGGGAAATGTTAAACACCTTAACAAGGATGATGTTTTTTTATCACTAGGTGAAAGAACAGAAGGGTATGTATTCCCGCATGATATTGCGGGTTTATATTACAAATATGTACTAAAAATATATGTTCATTTTTAGGTATTCGGGTTCAGATATCTCGATTGTTGTTCGGGATGCTTTGATGGCGCCTATACGTAAAGTTCAAACAGCAACACATTTCAGATGGGTATGTGTTATTCTTTAGGCTAAATACGAGTTTTATTATAAGTGTTGTTAATAATAATAAAATTATATTATTATTATTATTATTATAAGACCGATGAAACCAAAAAATATTTAGAGCCGTGTTCACCTGGAGCACCTGGAGCCATAGAAATGACATGGAAAGAGGTTAAGTCTGAACAGTTAAAGGAGCCTGATTTAACTTTTGAAGACTTAGACAGAGCAGCAAGTTTCGTTAAACCGACTGTAAACTCTGAAGATCTTGGAAAATATATTAGGTTCACAGAAGATTTTGGTCAAGATGGTTAACACCAGTGATCCCAGTCAATAACAAAAAAATTTGCCAAAACTAGTTTTCAGCTTAGCCGGTTGATTCTTTTAAAATCGGCTGATCGATTTATTACTTGATATTAATTCACACATAGCTTTTTTGATCATTACAAAGAAGTTTTTTATATTTGTATTGAGTCACACTTTCTTGTGTAACATCAAATATACTTTATATCATTAGAAATATAGTGCGTTGGGTCAATGGGAAGTGGTACAATATTTTAATTAGCATTAAGGTTTTTTAATGATATGTCTTATAGAATTATATATTTATTAGTCGAATAAACTGACATGTCTGAATTTTACGTGTAAAATTATTGATTATTGTTTATCTTTTAACCTGATTTTTGGCAAATTTACCCATAATTAAAGAAATTTTGTTAAATAAAAAAATTGAAATTTGCTACTCATCACCGCGTATAGTTTTTTGCTGAAATTTAGGGTTAGAGTGTAGTTATAGAGTGAAATAGAGGTTAGATATAAAGGTCCCAATTTAGCTTGTATAAGGGTTTTGAATATTTTTTACTTAGAACTCTCGACTTTAATTCGTATGTTTTTGAGATGTAGCATTGTGGTGATGATTAGCAATATCCTTTAATTTTATTTAAAAAATTGGTATTAAATAGACACCATTACTTTAGGCATTTTCTTGGATTGAATAGAATAAATTCAAAGATATTAAAAAAATGGATTTATTCTAACACTTTTTTTATCAACTAGCCTAGAAGAATTGGTGTTGAATGGATCTAGGCATTTTCTTGAATTAATTAAAATGAATTCAGAAATATTCAGAAAATAAATTTATTCTAACACTTTTTTTTATCAACCAGCCCAGAAAAATTGGAATTGGTGTTGAATGAATCCAGATATTTTCTTGAATTGATTAGAATGAATTTAGAAATATCCAGAAAATAGATTCATTTTAACAATTCTTTTATTAACTGGCACAGAAGAATTGGAATTGGTATTAAATAGATTTGGGCATTTTTTTGAATTGATTAGAATAAATTTAGAAATATTTAGAAAATGAGAAAAGAGAAGGTTAGTATTTTATTTTGATTAATTATATAAGAAGATTGATTCTAACACTTCTTTATCAACTGATTAAAGAATTTTTACCAGCTTAGAAGAATTGGAATTGGTGTTAAATAGACCCCATCTAGACATTTTTTTGGATTAGTTGGAATAAATTTAGAGATATCCAAATTCTATCAACTAGCCCAGAAGAATTAAAATTGGTATTGAATAGATTTAGGCATTTTCTTAAATTGATTAAAATGAATTTAGAAATATCTAAAAAATAGATTCATTTTAATATTTCTTTTATTAACCAGCCTGAAAAAATTAGAATTGGTATTAAATAGATCCAGGTATTTTTTTAGATTGATTAGAATGAATTCAGAAATATCTGAAAAATAAATTTATTCTAACACTTCTTTTATCAACTAGGTGGAAAAATTAAAATTGGTATTGAATAAATCTGAGTATTTTTTTAAATTAATTGAAATAAATTCAAAATTATTCAAAAAATGAAAAAAGAAAGTTGATATTTTATCTTGATTAATTATATAAAAATATTAATTCTAATACTTCTTTTATCAATCAGTTAAAGAATTTTTACTAGCCCAGAAGAATTAGAATTGGTGTTAAATAGACACTATTTGGATATTTTTTGAATTAATTGGAATGAATTCAGAAATATCTAAAAAATAGATTTATTTTAATACTTTATTTATCAACTGGCCTAGAAGAATTGGAATTGGTGTTAAATGGATCTAAGCAATTTCTTGGATTGATTAAAATGAATTTAGAAATATCTAAGAAATAAAAAAGTAAAGATTAGTATTTTATGTTTATTAATTGCTTATGATTTAAAAAGAATAATTTTAACACTTCTTTTATTAACTAGCTAAAGAACTTTTACTAGCCCAGAAGAATTGGAATTGGTGCTAAATAGACACTATTACTCTAGGCATTTTCTTGAATTGATTGAAATGAATTTAGAGATATTTAGAAAATGAATCATATGGGCTGATTTACAGGATTGCCAATAACTTTTAATATACTGGTTCATTTTGAATAATTTTATTACCAAAATGTTGGTCTCAATAAGATGGTTCTAATGAATCCAAAATCATTAAAATCTAATCACAGAGTCTCGAGATAATAAAGATTTTGTATAATTTTACTATTAACCTTTATTATGTAGACAATCATTTAATGAATTGGTTTTATATATAACTTTATATATAAAACCAATTCATTAAATGATTGTCTATATAATAAAGGTTAATAGTAAATCATACAAAATCTTCATTATTTTGGGACTCTGTGATTGGATTTTGACGATTTTGGATTCATTAGAATCATCTCATTGAGACCAACATTTTGGTAATAAAATTATTCAAAATAAATCGGTATATCAAAAGTTATTGGCAATTTTGTAAATCAGCCCATATGTTTATTTTAATACTTCTTTTATTAACTGGTCCAAAAAAATTGGAATTGGTGTTAAATGGATTTGGGCATTTTTTAGATTAATTAAAATAAATTTAGATATATTTAGAAAATAGATTTATTCTGATACTTCTTTTATTAACCAGTTTGAAAAAATTAGAATTGGTGTTAAATAAATCTAGATATTTTTTTGAATTGATTAGAATAAATTTAGAAATATCTAGAAAATAAAAAAAGTAAAAGTTAGTATTTTATCTTGATTAATTGTATGAAAAGATTGATTTTAATACTTTTTTTATCAATTAGCTAAAGAATTTCTACTGGTTCAAAAGAATTGGAATTGGTATTAAATAAACACCATCTAGACATTTCTTAGATTTATTAGAATAAATTTAGAGATATCTAAAAAATATATTCATTCTAATATTTATTTTATCAGCTGGCCTAGAGAAATTGGTATTGGTATTGAATGAATCTGGATATTTCTTGGATTGATTAAAATAAATTTAAAAACATCTAGAAAATAAATTTATTTTAACACTTCTTTTATTAAAAAGCCTAGAAAAATTAAAATAGATTTGGGCATTTTTTTGAATTGATTGGAATAAATTCAGAAATATTTAGAAAATAAGAAAGATGAAGGTTAGTATTTTATTTTGATTAATTGTATAAGAAGATTAATTCTAATATTTCTTTTATCAACCAGCTAAAGAATTTCTACTATCTCAAAAGAATTAAAATTAGTATTAAATAAATACTATTTGGGCATTTTCTTGAATTAATTGAAATAAATTTAGAGATATTAGGAAAATAAATTTATTTTAATATTTCTTTTATCAACTAGCCCAGAAAAATTAGAATTGGTATTAAATGAATTTGTATATTTTTTTGAATTGATTAGAATGGATTCAGAAATATTTAAAAAATGGATTTATTCTAATATTTCTTTTATCAACTGGCTTAAAAGAATTGAAATTGATATTAAATGAATTTGAGCATCTTCTTAAATTAATTAGAATAAATTCAGAAATATCTGAAAAATAAAATAAATCTAGGCATTTTCTTGGATTGATTAAAATAAATTCAGAAATATCTAAAAAATAGAAAAGTAAAGATTAGTATTTTATATTTATTAATTGCTTATAATTTAAGAAAATTAATTCTAACACTTCTTTTATTAACTGGCCAAAAGAATTTCTACTGGCCCGGAAGAATTGAAATTGGTATTAAATAGACACTATTTACTTCAGGCATTTTCTTGAATAAATTTAGAAATATCTGAGAAATGAAAAAGTGAAAGTTAGTATTTTATATTTATTAATTGCCTATATTTTTAGGATTTATTTTAATACTTCATTTATTAACTAGTCTAAAAGAATTTCTACTGGTCTAGAATTGGTGTCAAATAAATAAAAATAAGGTATCTATTTACTTCTGGGTATAATTTATTTAGAAAAATTAAAATTAGATGAAATAGATAAAAATAAAATATTTTTAGATAGAATTTTTAAAAGAATAACAATTTACTTCTATATATAAGTACAGTATAAATAATTTAAAAAATTAGAATTGAATAGCTAATTACTTAAAAAATTAAATATTGATTTATAATTTGTTAATAAATATATAAAATATTTAAAGATATTCAACTCTTTCTAACACTCATTTGAACTGAATTTCCAATTAACAAAAAATCAGAAAAATTTGTTAGAGAGTTATGGTCTACTAGTAGTTTGTCTAAAGATTAACCTTTTACTGTATAGGAACTCCTCTATAAGGGATGTTCGGCATACAAGCCAAGAGCATTATTATACAAGATAACTAGCAAAGGGTCCTTGTATAAAAAATCTTGGTGGTGAGCGAAAAAACTAGTAATAACTGGCATTGTCAATGAAGCTTGTAGATCATTACTTCAAAAAAGAACATAGAGGAAACAACAAATTATATGTTGCTTTTAAGCTGCATTTTTTTTTTTGTTTCAAGTAGCTTCTCTATTACTTATTTTTGTCTTCCTGTTGGTTTTTTAAAAATTTCAAAAAAAAGTGAGGATTTGGCTTACCTCCTCCAAAAGATCAGCATTGTTTATATTTCAAATTTGAACAAACTTAACTACATGTTTTGTTTACTTGTGAATATAGTACTACTCTATATGACTTGAATTGAGTTTCCAGTTAAAAAGGTATCTGAAGTTGGTCGGTAGTCAGATGGTGTATATATATAGGTATATCTATTTATCTAATAGCTTACATAAGGTTCTATAATGATTTATACATACTTAGCCAATTATAATACACTGTAAGAATATACATAAATTTAACATTTCAAGCCAATTGTAAATAGTGTAAGATCTTTAGCACACAAAGAAGAAATTATTAAAATCACATATATAGATTTAGGAGTAATATATACCAAAATCTGTAAATACTGTATTTTTTATATTCATACTATTATTATATACAAGAATTAACTAAAAAAAAAAAAAAACTATATTTTTATTATAATAAATAAAATTATTATAAATCGGTATATTATATTAGACTTGGCTAAATAAAGGCTTATTCAACTAGATTAGTTGGGCTATAAAATTTAATATAATTATTTAAAAAAGTTAAGTTTTGATAGTTTTAAATAGTAGATAAGTTTATTTTTATTTATTTTTATTTTTTCTTATACTTATATATATATAGTTTTTTTTATAATTTATCATATTACTATATAATGATTATTATTTCTATTGTCTTTCAATAGAATAATTGGTCTCAGTTAATTCAGAGTTGGGAATAGAGCAATTGTCATATAAGGCAATTTTTGATTTTCTTTTTATTGTCACATTTATAATTGCTTCTAAATCAGCTACTATTATTTGGTTTTAGTCTTTCTGGTCATGTTGATTCCAAACTTTTTTGATTGCATTTATTCAATTATCTAAAGAAATATTAATAACATTTTCTGAATTAGGCTTTTCTACTTCTTGAAAGAATGAAACTTTAGCTACTAGTGCTAGATAAAATTTGCAATATATAGCAAATATATACTTGCATATCATGCTACAAAATTTAAAGTCTGGGCATGTACATCTTAGGTGTGCTAGTTATATTAATATTATTTTTAATATTAATTTTATAATTATTACTCTTATTAGTAAATGATAACATTGCCTATCTGGTATTGCAAAGCTATTTAAATCTAATTTCACAAGCTCTCGATACTGTTGTTCTTCTTGACAAGATTTTATTATTCCAATTATCAAATCAACAGCCTTATATTTGAACTTTGTATTTGTTAAAACAGATTTTAAAGTTTAAATTAAAATATCAATTTGATGATTTTGCTTAGCACCTAAATAAGTATATTTAAATTTTTTGTACCATAATTTAACAAAATTTGTTATATTTATCTCTTGATACTTGTATAATCTATAAGTATTAACCCACTTATTTCTCTAATTTAACTACCAGAAATCCTATCATAACCTCTAATCATTAATCTTACTCTAATCTAAATCTAATCTGCAAAAGTGGCAAAACTTTAATACCAACAAAACTCAACAGCACCAAAGCAAGAAGAAAATAGTATCAAATAGTGGCTTCAAGTAGTACTCCGCAAAATCAAATTAAAATTTGAATTTGAATCAAATATTTGAAAATATTTGATCAAACTTTTAAAAAATTTGATCAAATATTTAATTCAAATTCAAATTTTGATTTGATTTTGCAGAACACTAGCTTCAAGACATCAACAGCACCAAAGAGTGGCTCTAGAATGACAACTACACCAAATTAGTAGCTCCAAGACATCAATGACACTGATAATGACACTGGCAAAAACACCAACTATGTGATACTAGAGATAATCTACTAATAACAAAAATTACATAAATCATCAAACCCAAATCACAAACAACAGCAAAATCATATAAACCTTCAAGAAAACTACACCAAACACCAAACCCAAACCACAAGTAATGGTAATAAAATAGTACAAATAGGGCCACCAAATAGTAACAACACCATTTATATATTACAAGTAAAAGCACTAGCAAAAACACCAATAATGCATATCAGTGACAACATAGTAACAAATATAATTAAAAAAAAAAAGTATTAGTTGACTAGTTAAAAAATACAAAGCAAAAAAGCAGAACCTAATGATGACTAATGATACTAAAAGCAATGAATCCCAAACTACAAACCAGTTCACAAATGATAGCAAAATCACAAAAATCTTCAAACTTAAACTACAAATAACAATAGTAAAATAGCATAAAACTCCAAACCCAAACTACAAACAACAGTGATAAAATGGCATGAAAAGACCTGCCAAAATGTAATGACACCACCTACACAATAGAACAATAGTATTATGAACAAGGGTACTAGCAAAAACACTAGCTACATAGTGCTAGCGATGATACTAGTGGCAATATAGCAATGAAATTACCTATATATAGAGAAAAAGAAATAATTAAGGACAAAAACTAAGTACTGATTACACTGCTTATATTCTGTGATTAGGGATAATTATCAGTATAACCTATAGTTACAAATATATTAATCTTTAAATTTGTGTAGTTTAGTATTAGTACTATAAATATACAATATACTTATTATATTGCAAAAGTGACCAAATTCTTGAATTGTGACCTGTTAAGTAATTGTTAATATTAGTCTCTATTGTGTTTATTTCAAAAATACAATAAAATTTTATTAAACATAATGTATCTTTAAAAAAGTTGCAAATTAATAGCCTTGATAATAAGTAACAAGCCAAATAACTTTTTTACACTTTAGAGTACTGTTTTAAAACATAACATTTCACTACCAAAAAATTACTCCCAAAGTTTTAAATGAATGTTAGTATTCACTATTTAAAAGAATCAAAAAAAAAATCATCTTCCTCACCAACTTTACTTAGAAGGCAAAATATATAACCTTTATTGAGTCATAAGAAATTATACTATAAGTAAAAGTAACTTCTATCTAAGACTGCTTTACTATATTAAATCTAAGTAAATATTAATTGAAACTGCTTAATTTGAATAGGTACAAGCTCTATAGTAGCAGAAAATCCAGTTTAATATTTGTTTTAGATCATAATAAAATTTGAAATTTAGAAACCTCAATTTAAATATATAAGCTCTACTAAAATTTATTTATACTCTAACTCTAAACCTTATAAAAATCATATATAAAATAAGTTGAATTTTATTATGATCTGCCACATATATTTATTCTAATTTTTTGGTTTGCAAATATGAAATCTGAGTATTTTAAATATATCAACACATTATTCAAGCTCATAAATATTAACTATACTTAATTTTTTTCTTTTTTTTTAATTCATAAGTATGAAAAGTATTTATTAAGTATTTAAATTCAAAATACAAACTGTAAATTGTCATACCTTATGTTTACCAGAAATTTTATCAAGTCAAAAGTGATTACTATATGATTTTCCAAAAGCTATTTTTTTAAAAAAACCAAATTAGCCAACTTTATCAAGATTATATTGTTTTGTGCAAATAGCTTCAGGATTTTGATTACACAATGGTTAATTAAAAGTTTATATCAGCCTGATATTTATAGTATTAAAATCAGTGCCAACTAAATAAAAACCTTTTGATATATTGAATTATAGCCTAATTTGTTTCTAGAAATTCAGGTTATATTAAACTAAATAATTTATAACTCTAACTATTAAGTTTTTGGTTTTTGAGATATTGTTGCAAGGCTCACAGTCAAGGCTTAGTGAAAAATTCTGGTAAGTATAACTATTGTTACTGTATCCTGTCACAAATAAGCACCTGCTATGAATAAGCACTTCTTATATGTAAATTATTTTAACATCGGAGTCCAAAATTCCCAAATATAGATTGATTGATTGATCGATCAATTATGCAAGCCAAAGTAAACAATATTCATTTGCAGAAAAGTATACTTTAGTTATTACAATCTTAATTTCAAAGTAAATACCCCACACTATAAAGGGATTACCGTAAATAATTTGCTTGATTTACTATAGTAGTTTTATAATCATCGAGATCTTTATTTAAGGTTATAATATCGATATTCGTTAAACTATTCACATTAATTCAAATTCAAATTTTCTTTCAAATTGCATCAACTTTTTTTACAATGAATTGAGTTTTTTGAAAAAAGGGTTTCCAAAAGTTCTCACTATTAAAATTTAACTCTTTACGGCTATCTAACTTTTTATAATTTACTATACAACATATGCATATACTATCGAAAATATATACTAGTAACCTAGAAGCAAAAATTAATAATATTAAACAGGTTTGCTTTTTTTTTATTATCAATAATTGAACAAGAATTTTTGTCTTTCGATCTTTCTTCGTTATGCAAATTAACTCAGTAACTAGAAGCAAAAATTTATATTAGAAATTATTCTAATGTATTAATAATTGAATGAAAATTTTTATCTTTCAATCTTTCTTCATTATGCAGATTAACTCGGTAACTTAGAAGCAAAAAATTGATAATATTAACTAGATTTGCTTCTTCTTTATTAGAAATTATTCTAATATATCAATAATTGAATGAGAATTTTTTTTATTCGATCTTTCTTCATTATGCAGATTAAATTGATAACTTAGAAGCAAAAAATTGATAATATTAACTGAGTTTGCTTTTTCTTTATTAGAAATTATTCTAATGTATCAATAATTGAACAGAAATTTTTTTCTTTCGATATTTCTTCATTATGCAGATTAACTTGGTAATTTAAAAGCAAAAAATTAATAATATTAACTAGGTTTGCTTCTTCTTTATTAAAAATTATTTTGATATATCAATAATTGAACAGGAATTTTTGTTTTTTGATCTTTTTTCATTATGCAGATTAACTCGGTAACTTAGAAGCAAAAAATTGATAATATTAACTGGGTTTGCTTCTTCTTTTTTAGAAATTATTCTGATGTATTAATAATTGAACAGGAATTTTTTTCTTTCGATCTTTCTTCATTATGCGGATTAACTCAGTAACTTAGAAGCAAAAAATTGATAATATTAACTGGGTTTGCTTCTTCTTTATTAGAAATTATTCTGATGTATCAATAATTAAATAGGAATTTTTTTCTTTCGATCTTTCTTTATTATGCAAATTACACATTTCTTTACCAATCTTCTTTTAAAAATATTTAAAGAATTCTGTAATATCTGATGAACTATCGCAGCCTTATAAATAGATTACTAGCATTGTAATTTGACATTTTGATATATAAAGTGTTAAATAAGAAAGTGTTATGTATATATGTATATATGTTATATATTTTAGTTTACTATTAATAGTTAGCATATACAGGGATAATATTTATATATTAAGGCAACTATTTATGTATTCAGATAGCGGTTCAAACTTAAAAATTTAACATTATTTTTGCGCTTATATAAAGGTGAAATTCGTATAACTTATCATTCACTAATACAATACAACATTTATTACTTCTCTTTTATTTATTCCGATCAAGTGATTTCTCTCTATAACTTCTATATTATGTGTTTTAGCTGTTGCAATGATTTTCTCATTCTCTTTATTTTCGTCTCCAATACTATATTATATTTAACCTCTTCGATATCACCTAATTCTTCCAATTCATATTCAATTTCTTCAGCATTATCTTTATCATCTAATATATTAGAAAGACTGCACTTTTTAAAAGACTTGGTAATAATTTCTGCTAGGATGTCATTCTATGCTTCTACAATCCAATGACACATCAAATCATGCTCTGGTTTTTTCATTCTACCATCCTTAGTATATTTATATTCTCCAGTATCTATCTATGTATTCCATTTTTCGCGAAGTTGGTCTTTAAAAAATTTATTGATACTTACATTCAAAGGTTGTACTATAGAGGTGAGTTCGCCAGGAATAACTCCCAAAACTGTATTAGTTTCATAGTATTTGTTTTTTACAGATGTAGTAAGATGTTCTTCAAAAGAATCAAAGACTAATAACGACCTCTTTTGTCCTCCAGGTCTTTGTTTCCAAACCGATTCTAACCAGTCTACTATCAATTCTTTGTCTATCCATTTATTTTCATACATCCTAACAACTACTTCAGGAGAATAATGTCCCTTAAAAACCTTTTTTCCCTTAAATATAATCATTGGAGGAAGCTTAGATCCATCTGCCAGTACACCCAAAATGCAAGTAAATCAGTTCTTATCATTTTCTGTTGTACGAATAGGTACTGACTGAACATTACGATTATCGAGTGTAAGAGAACCTACCATATCAAAATTAACAGGAGTTTTGTCCATGTTGGCAATGCAATTGAGGTCAAAGTTATTGTTTTTTTGCAAATTATTAATAAATTCATGAAATGAAATAACTTTTTCACATAAATCTTTAAGAAGTTTCTGAGAAGCCTTAGTACGCCTTCGAAGAGACAAGTCAAACTGATTCATAAAATAGTCAAGCCATTGATCTGAGGCTTTAAAATTGTGTATAGTATCAGGGTATGAAGGTCTAAACTCCTGAGTAAGTAAACTAATTATATGACATTTGGCATTCTTAGGTGTAACTGCTATTCCTCTTAGACACCGATCTATTATCCACTCTTTTAATGATTCTTTAGTGAGTGGGTATAATAATAAAGAACCAGAACCCACTCTGTGGCTTGTCTTTCTTGCATTTTTTATTGTCTTTTCTTTTTCTCTCCATCTGCCAACTTGAGTATGGTCAATATTATATATTTGTGCTGTGGCGTAATTGTTTGTCTTTTTGGCATAATAATTGCTTCAAGTTTTAAACTTGCAGAGTAACTTCTATATTTTTCTTTCATTTTAACAAAAGCAAGTAAGAAAAAGTAATTGATTTTTTATTTCAAACTGATCGCAAATGATATATTTATTTATTTATTAATACTCTGATTTACCTATACATATACGATCAAAAAGTATTATATAACATTGATTGAAAGCATATCAAAAAATATAAATAATCGGTCAAGTATTCTGATTACTTTAAAATTACTGCCATAATTGTTTTTATTTTTTTTACTTATATCTCATAATTATTATTATTAAGATGAACACACTTTGAATAATGATCAATTCTAGAGAAATCTTAAAAATTACAAAAATTATTATTTTTTTTAAATTTTAGTTATTTTTTATTATTGTGTACTTATTCTTTTTATTTTGTTTAAATAACTCTTTTTATATTAGTTATTTATATTAATAACAATTTCTTAATTACATACTTTGTATACTACTTTTAATTTACTATCTTTTACTATCTTTTACTATCTTTTACTACCTTATGCTCTCAATTACTTAATTCACAATGATCTACAAACATCCTCAGTATTGTCAAAGTAAAAATAAGCACTTGAGTTACATAATCCCAATATTAATAGTTCATTAGCATTTTATACATTCTACATAAATTCAATCTATTTTATAAATCCTGAACAAGCTAAAAAAATTTCAAGTTGAATTAATAGATTAGATGTTACACTATTAAATAATAGAAAAAGATAGTATAAGTCATAGCATATTTTATATTAGTTCAAACTTGTAGTTCGAGTTGAAACCAAAAATTTCTTCAATACTCCTTAACTTTTAATCAAGCCATAATAATTATTTAATTAAATTCAACAGAGATTCTGAGAGAGCATAATATAATATATTTGAAAAAGGATATTTATCAGTTTTTCCTAAAAGTCATTTTGAGATCAGGCAAAATAAATTTATATTGATATAATGTATATGTTATATCCTGATTAAAATAGGTGTAGGTTTTCAAATTTTGGCTAAGGTACGTCAGACTGGGTTTATTATTTATGCATCATACTAAAATACACATAATAAATGTTTGATATTAAAGTAATAAATTAATAAGAATTGGTTACTTAAATTTTTTGTATATACATACCAGTATTCATTTATTTTGTACAAACTTTTGGTAGTTATTTTAATAATCAATATAAAGTTATTTTGCTGTAAGGTTTCTAAACCTTAAAAAAAAAATTAAATTATTTAATACAAGTATTGTTATGGGTCCGTTTTTTTTTTAGCGAACTACTATATAGTATCGAATTTCACTATAACAAAATTCCAAATATTATTGATACGTATTATTAATGTTAAGTATTATATCAGTATTATTTATTATTGTTATATATCAATTAATATATATGCATGATTTGCAAGGTTATACAGTAATCGGAGGTTCTATTTCTGAATTAAAATTTTGCTATGAATAAGTACCCCTTACTATGATCAAAAGGAATACTTATTTGCGGCAGGATACGGTAATTGATTATATCATTGAATTGCTTGTAGATCATTGAAATTGAGCCAAATTGTATATATGTAAAAGGGATGAACATAAAGCAATCATCTATTATCTAAAATTAACACAGATTAGTGATACTAGTAAAATGTTTAATGTTGGATATTATATATAACAAAGGAATTGAAAAAGATAATTTTATTTTTAAAAATCCACAAAGATAGAAATACAAAAGTTTACAAAGATAGAGATACTAATAGAACATATGATCTAGATAAGAGATAATTGTTGTTTAATAAAATTGAAGTTTGGTGTTCAAAGATAAGCCAGCTTATCACAGCTTGCTGTGGCTTATCACATAATAAATTTGAATTTATCACCAAGTCATATGATATTCTCAAATTTATTATGTAATAAATTCAAGAATATCATATGGCTTGATAATAAATTCAAATTTATTATGTGATAAACTGCAGTAGGCCACAGCAAGCCGTGATAAGCTGGCTTATCTTTGAACACTAATTAAAATTGAAAAAAGATAATCATAAACCATTAATCTATTATAAAAAATTAGCAGAGATAAGTAATACTAGTGGAATATTTAAAGTTGGATATTATTATGAAGAAATTATGATTAAAAAGTAAAATATAAGGCATTGATTTATTTTCAAAAATTTGTAAAGATAGGTAATGCTGATAGAGTATATATAATTTGGGTAAAAAATTAATTTGTTTTAATAGAATTAAAGTTGAACATAAAACATTCATCTATTATCCAAAATAGATAATGCTAGCTGAATATTTAACATTAGTTATTAGTATAGCAAAGGAATTGAAGTTGTAAAGAATTTACAGAAGACTTTTATTTATTTTTAAAATCCAGCAGATAAGAATACTGATTGAATATATAATCTAGATAAAAAATTAATTTATTTTAATAGAATTGAAGATAAGAATGATGTCAAAAATTAGTAAAAATGGGTGATACTAGTAGAACATAATATTAGATATTGTTATTTGATAATCTGCCACTCAACAGATGCATGATCATAGTGTAACGTAATGCAGATTACTATGTAAATCCAATATAGAGTGAATATAGAAAATTTCTAATATTCATTCAAAGAAAACTTTTTTCATACTAAATTAATCGACAAAGTCAATTAATTGAAAGTTGTAGAGCATATCATTGCAGTTCTAATAGTAGTTAAATCATTCAAATTGGCCTAGTGGATGCTGAGATATCTTTAGAAAACATGTTAACGATTATATAAAATCTTTATACAGTCAAACCTCTATAAATGCAACCTCCATAAATGCAATACCTCTCTAAATGCATGTTCCTGGCCTGGCTGTAAGAAATCATTAGTGCTAAATGCACATTCTATATTCTGCAAATGCATGTTTATTCAAAAGATTTTCTATATCATACTAATCTCTCTAAATGCACGTAGCCAATCAGAATTCAGTATTCAAGTTATATTATACAAGCCTGCAGATCAAACATTAAAAGCTGCAATTTAATTGGCTTTCTCTAAATGCAAACCTCTCTAAATACACGATTGAAGCTGGTTTGTATATAGTGTGTTTATGAAGGTTTGACTATACTCTAAATTTTCCAAGGAGTATGTTAAAGAAACTCATTTGTTGTTCCTCTTTTCTTTGTTGCCTCTCGGTTACTTCGTCGATAAAAAGATCTTTTTTTCTTCAGGCTCTTATCACCAAAATTTTGTATACAAAAGCACCACTTTCTTGCCAGTTATCTTGTATTCTAACACTTTTGGCTTGCATGCCAAATATGCTAAAAGAGTCCCTCAAGAGAAAGGTTGACCTTTGCAAGAACTGTCTGATAGTCGTGTCAACTACTCCAACAAAATTTTTGTTTCTGTTCGGTAGAAAAATTTGGTACAAGTGATTGTCGGAGAGAGTTCTGAATAAAACGATTATATTATTATGTTGTTTCTTATTTCTCTTCTTATAACTATATTATTATTTGTCGCAGATGATAGTGAATCGGATGATCGTGAAATCCACGTAACCCGGGACCCAGGCCTCATTATCACGTGACACATACGATATTCCTAAAAATCCCGAATTTATAAATGTCATATATATTGCGAAACCCTATAGCTTTACATACAACTATTTTATTAGAATTAAAACTTTCTGCTATACACAGATTTTTCATACACCAAACATCAGCCCGAGTAGGGCAAAAGGGGGAGTTCTAGCACACTTTTTCGGTACCCTGGGTACTAAAGTATTCATTTTGCTTTTTAGATCGCTCAAGAAGTCTATATTCTATAAAAACTCTTTAGTATCTATATAAAAACCTGGGTACCAAAAATTATATAGCTAGAACTCACTATTTTTATATTTTATAATCAAATTAGATGACGACAAAAAATTAATCTCATCGTCACATCTAATATCATATACTATTCATC